GGAAATGAAAGAGACATTGAGAAGTCTGAGGTAAGGTATATGTCATTCCATCAGGTTGCCCTTCTGAATTGCACAGCAGAGATATAGTACTTCATGCTAGTAGACTAGAGTTATCCTGTAGGATGATCTCCATGTTTTCCTTGTCAAATATTCCAAAAGTTGATCCCTTAGCAAATACAATTTTCTTTTCATGCCTTTTCCTTGTGCAAATCCATAATAAGCAAACAGGTAGGCATTTAAATTGCTAACTATAATGCTGGCTGAAAAACCACTAAGGCTGCAAGCACTGGATTTTTTTTTTTAATTCTGGAAACTCCATTAGCAGGTGAAAACAATACCTGAAATATAAGGTGATATTAAATAAACATATAAAACATATAATAATAATAATAATAACAATAACAATAATAATATGATCACAATTATAATTATATAATTATACATTGTATTATTTTACATAATTTTAATATTTATATATATATATATATATATATATACTTTATATATATATAAAGTAAATATAAAACATGATCTAAAATCCATGCTTTCTGTGCTGTGTGGGAGAGAATACCTACATATTTCAGGAACAAATATGCCCCTTCCTCTCACCATGTAAGCAAAATGTCCTGTTTAGTTTGTATCTCTTCACATAGTTATACTTCTAAAGTAGCTTACTGATAGGTCTTGCATCTTTATGAATACCTGAAGGGAGGGGGCAAAGAAGATAGAACCAGGCTCTTTTCAGTTATGCCCAGTGCCAGGACAAGAGGCAACGGGCACAAACTGGCACACAGGAGGCTCCATCTGAACACCAGGAGGCACTTCTGTGCTGTGCAGATGGCTGAGCACTGGCACGGGCTAACCAGAGAGGTGGTGGAGTCTCCTTCTTGAAGATCTCCAGAAGCCTTCTAGATGTGGTCCTGGCCAGCCAGCTCTGGGTGGCCCTGCTTGAGCAGGGGGTTGGACCAGATGGCCTCTAGAGGTCCTTTTCAAATGTAATTGTTCTGTGATCCTGTGATATATCTGGGTTATCCTAACACTTTGTGTCTCCTTTAAAGTCTTGTTTCCTGATGTCACAAAATTATGCCAAAACTTCACTTTTCATCCACAGAGTGTATTTGGTCTTTGGTACTGTGGAAAAGATCTAGAAAGTAAGACTTTAATGCATCTCAAGCATGAAAGAAAGGGAGAAAAAATTGTATTATTTTAAGGGGATGATCATAATTTTAAGCAGGGAGTGACTTATAGCTTTTAGTGACTCAGATTTGGAATTTAAAGAACAAAGGAAACTGTCACAACTGCCAGGAGAAATGTATAGCAAAATAAGGAGAGAGCTGAGCCTCAAACATTCTCACTGCTGGACCTGCCTTCTTGAAACAAGTGCTCCTCATCCAAAGTGAAGTGGAAGCAGTTTAAAATAGAAAAACTATCAAAATTAAAAAAATTCAAGTTTTATTGTAAAAAGTAAATAAATAAATAAATAAATCACACCTGGAGGAGAAAGTTTAACAGATTTACTGATAAATTTAGCAGGAAAAATCGTCACTGGCTACGTTAACATGAAAGCTACTTATACTGGCTTTTCACCTTTGAAGTGCTAAGCCAGAGATCTACTTGCAGTATTACAGAGTCAGAAACATTCCTGAGGCTTTCAGAGGCTGCTGTATTCTTGGCATGATTTTATTGATAAGAATGAGACAGGTAGCAATTGTCATTCTATTGCAAAAATCCTTATCTGTAAGTTTATGGACAGAACTGGAATTTGATGAATTTCAGGTCACGGCACAAAGGCATTTCTTTCCCTTCATTCTGGCTTTTAGAAACATACTTTCCAACAACAGACAATTTGATTTGTATGCTTTATTCTTGATTTAGCTAACCCATTCTGATGGCCAAGAGTTTTATGAAAAACAAGTTTTCCCAGGCTCGTTGCTTTCTGTGTCTCATGGTAACCAATGGCACTAAATAACAACACTGTCTAAACACATTCGGGACCAGATTGTAGCTATGGACAAGGGCCAGTATAACAGTAAGAGGAAGTTTTGTGGGGGCAGTTTAGCAATAGATAACACAAAAGATGTCCTTGAAATGAAGGTAAATAACCAAAACAGATGCAACAGCAGTTACTGAAGTACAGACATTTGAGTTCTCTGCATGTTAAGAAGAGCAGAATAAAGAAGGTATAAGAGGGCTCCAGCTAACAACATTTGCTCAGCTAAAAATTCTGTATGTTCTATATCTTTTCTGCTTAGGGAACTGAAGATCCAGTCCTATGGCATTGCAATTTATTTCCCATGCAGGCCAAGCGGAAGTTCAAAAAGAACATGCTGAGATTCTTGGCCAAGCATGTTCCTGTCTGGATGGTATCTGTTGTCTCACCCCTACTCTGGGAAGATGGCCTCATTTGATGAGCACATGCCTTGCATTTTCCTGAGTCGTGTTTCGTGAAGGGTGATACCATTTCAGTCTTGAATGACACTGATACCTTTCCCCCACCTAGAAATATTATCATATTGCTATGTATCACATTGCTATTTTTGGACAAAGTGAAATCTCAAGAACTGCAAGACAGGCGCTGAGGGTCACTCTCTCTCCTCCATCATCCTTGCTCCATAACTGTTCTGGAGAGAAGACCCTGAAAAATTCAGGCCGTTGGCTGCAGTGTCCAGATACTCCAAAGGATGCAGCAAAAGTCAACAAAAGCCAGCTGAGAGGACAGTGAGGCTATTCTGGCCTGGTAAATAATGGAAACACAAAGGAAAAGTAGGACTCTCATCCTTGCAGTAAAATGAGAACTGTGGTGACTGAAGCCTCATCACAGTGCTAGCTGTTTGCTGAATGGCAAGGACATTGTCAGCTTAACAGATCAGTGCCAACTACATGATAGCTCAGGATGGGGCCATCACTCTTGTGAAAACTTAGAAAGTACAGTATTGCAATGAAAACTTTTTTGCAAATTGATGATATTGTAATCCATTTTCAAAAAGCACTTTGGTGGCAACTACCAGAGATAAGGCACCTGCTTGTTATCTGAATCTGAGAGACACATGGAAAGAACAGAAAAGAACTGGCAGTTACTCACCTACCTTTTTATAATTAAATGAATCATGATTTGATCTGGAATTAATGTTTGGAAACAAGTCATGTGGTTAGGGAAGCACTTTAGAATTCACACCTTTAAGTATTTGATTTCTGTAGAGGAGCTTGTTTTTTAGCATGCAGTACATATTTGGTATATTATGAAATACAGAGCAGTTTGACCTTGAAACAATTAATCTCTTCTGAGGCACATGGGTTTTGAATGGATATAGACATAATTAGAGAATTTAAATTACACAAGGCATGCTCAATCTTTCCATCTGGAAGAAAATGTGGGAAGGACATCTGTGGGAGAGGAAAGGCCTTTCTCTTTGCAGAAAAAAAAAAAAAAAAAAAAAAAAAGTCCCATGACTGGGAAGAGAGGGATTCTTTGACTCTCAGCTCTCCTCAATATATTATAATCTGATATGAGACCAGTCATGAATAAGGAGAAAGCTTCTGATACTCTTACCCTTGTATTGGCTATCACACATTTAGCCAAAGAGACAGATATCAACCATTTATATCAGTACCACTGTTGAGCTTACTAGAAGGATTTGGAATTAACATTTTTACATTTTCAAGAGAACTTTGCTATCTGCTGTATTTACCAACTGGAAGAAAGAGAGGAGAGAGAAAGAGTGAGAGAGAGCGCTCACATAAAGCTAGTTGCTTTGTTAGGACAACAAAAGCATTTAGAATTGCAGAAACGATACAATAATTAAAAAATAAAATAAAATAAAATAAGAGTGTCCTGTCATAAAACTAGCATGGACAAACCACAGGAATTTATCACCTTCTCAGACACCCACATAATTCAAGAGTACATGAGATGATACCAATGACATGAGATAAAGAGCTGAAAATAAGATGAGATTTGTACCTGGATCATCTACAGAGAAGCTAACAAAGAAATACTCATCTATGTGAATTTACTTTCAATAAAGTAAAAAAAATATTATAAATTTTTCAAAATTTTCAAAATTACTATTTTTCAAAAATAAATTTTCAAAAAAGAAAATACTTTTCAAATAATGAGAGAAAAATACTCACTGTTTTTTAGGATTTTTTTTCTTCTTCACTCCAAAACACTGCCTATTCATTAGTTGTTTTGGATATTTTTTGTAAGTTCAATAATTAAATAATCAAAATACAATTCAAATTCTAACTGCTCTTTGAGCACCTTACAACCTTTTAGACCAACTTCTTACACCTTGAAAGGACATGTCAGATACTTCTCTTTTGCTTTCAAATTGCAAAACTATGTATATGTTTTTAAAGAATTATAGTCCAATAAAGAAAATAATTTGATTTATCAACACAAAATTCAGACTTACTCGAAGCAAGGACTGTTTTTCACCACATGCATAACGGGATTTTCTTGATTCCAGATGTAGGTTTAAAATAAAATAAATGCTAAGATTAAAAAGAGAATATTCCAGATGAATAAATACTAATTAAATCAATAGAGCTAAATTAATTTTCAAGATCCAGATCATAGCCTAAAAGCCATAAACAGGAAAATAAATAGGTGTCAATATTTCTTTTTCCAAAAAACTACCTTTCTGAATGTAATCACAGTACCTGTACACTCTTAATTTAATCATTCACTGGAGGATGTTACAGGTAACTGCTCATAATAAACAGTAGGTGTTTCCCTGAGGGCCAGGGTAGTTTGCATAATGTGCTAACTGTTTTTTTTCTAGTGTTATAGTGAAAGAAAACTATTACAGTACAGCCAGTTCTAATGAGATGTTTCATAAACGTCTTTTGCTAATGAGAGATCTTGTTTAAGTTCTGAGTTTCAGAGGTTAAAATAATACAGCACCACTAGAACAGCTGATGCTGTTACATGTAATCCAAGTCCTTTTTTTTTTTTCTTCTTCTTTAATTAACTTTTGTATCTTCTGATCTATTTATAGATGCAGACATCGAGAACTCCTCAGCTGGAGCAGATGTGGCTGTTATTGGAGGTAAGTAGCACATCATACTTAGCGGCACCATTAGAATTAAAACAGCAGGATGGTTGGTTTCTTGCATTTTGCAAACCCCCTACTTTGCTGACAAGACAACAGGAGCGGCACAATTAGAGTTAATTAGGCCAGTGGGAAATCTGCTCCCAGAGGGGCTATTGGCAAGATAACAAGATGAGATAATGAGCATAAACCATCGAGCAGTACCACCCCCATCCATTCCTTTTAGACAAGAATCTAAATGTCCAGTAGCAAAGTCAACCTCTGATATTGCTCATCATTCCCTGGTCCAAGACTATCATATAATACAAAATTGGTGTGACATCTTTGATTTGAATCACACTAACTCACACCAACGGACCCTTTATTCTTACAGAACATACCACAGAGCATTTCCTGGTGTTCCATTAAAGCTCCCTCATGCATTTAAACTAAATACAGTTGTCAGGATAAATGAACAAAGCTATGTTCACAGAGAGAACCCTGTCTTTTCACTTTTATTGTGTTTGTTCATTTCCATGCTAACGCACTAATTTCAGCCATTCACAAGGGGGTATACCAATCATTAGTGCAAATTGGAGAGGTTCTGTTATATTTCCCTCAGGTCCCATCTCCTGTAACTTTAATTTCAGCTTTCTATGAACAAGTAGCAGGTAAATTGATTTGTACTTAGTCCCCTAGGCTTATTAATATTGTGCTATTTCTAAAGCCTATTAAAGCCTCTTGTGTCAAGGGATACCAGTGAGGTCCTAAAAACTGATGAAGCCCCCAGTGCAACTAAGATATTATTGTAAACTTAAAGTTCTCTGTATGTGCAGTTTAATTTCTGCTAGCAATAACTTCACATTCCAGAATCAGGCACCATAAAATCTGTGGGATAGCATTGCAAGCATATTTTTTAAGATAGAGTTATCATTTCTGTTCACATTGCCAATGTTCTGTTCAGTCCCCCATCTTCATGTCAATAGAATATCTAAACTTGGTTACTGATGCTGATAAATTGAAAGCTTTGGAGATACCTGCTGCTGACACATATCTTGAACACAGGGGATGGAAGAGATGCACTCTCTACCCATCCTTCATTGTCACTGCAGAATAGTAGGCCTTTCCATTCATCTGTCCAAATACAGGCATTTGTTTCTAGAACAGGAATCAGCCCCTCCGGTCTACTGATTGTAGAAGAAGCCCAAGAAAACTAACTCAGATGGAGCCTCCTGTACTGTAGATGCCTACAGTTAATCAGATGAAATCCTACCTATTGCATCCTCACAGCAGCCTCACACTCTCCACATTTTTTTATTTTTTTATTTTTTTTCCCTAGGCTTATCCTATTCTGGTGCTTCTTATTGTGTATTTCTTTAATATTTGGTTTACTTCTTTAATCCCCTAGTCCTGGAGTCACAGGAACATAGAATCAGCTCAGTATTGTGTACTTATATAGAATTATAAGCTTATATAGCTTATTGTTATAATAATATAATAATATAATTATTATAATAGTAATTTATATATAATAATAATAATTTAGTTTATATAAGCTAAAGAGCTTAGAAGCACATCCAAGTAGTATCTAAAAAGTGTTTTAAAAAAAAAGAGAGAGAGAGAAAAAATAATAAAAAAATGTAAAAATCATAGAAGTTCAATAAATCTGCTTCATAATTCTTTATCTATCTTTTGGATTCTTAAATGATCAATTTGATCTGAGAGGAAGGATATAGACCTTGTAGTTTTTTAGCTATCGTCTTATCCGTGGTGTCTCTTTTTCTGGACTTTCACCTTTCCTCATAGAACATGAAAAAAGAAAAAAGAAAAAAAAAAAAAAAAAGACACTGGGAAGAGAGGACATGAAGTGTTCTTCTAGCACACAATCATCCCTGGAGAATTACTTTCCTTCACTAGGAGTGCTTCCATTCACAGTTTAGTCCTACACACATTTAGGTTGCCTATGGAAATTTTTGTCCAGTCAACACATGGCTAGTTTTAGTTTTTTAGATTTTTTTTAGATTAGTTTTAGTCTGGGAGACAGAGAAGTTCTACCCATAACATCTTTCTCCTAGGTGTCACTTCCACATTCATTACAATACAGCTTTCTTAATTAGAGCACAGCATGAGATGGCAGCTCCCAAATATAAAGCAGTACTGCAGGCACATGGCTCCTGCTACTTGTTGAATGTCTCCTAAGAAATATTCAGTGGCCTTTACTCCTCCTGAAATTGAATACACTCAGTTGGGCAGGATCAGGTTTCCTGCAAACTGCCTGGGATATATGGTACCATAAAGATGAAAGAAACATTGGTTTTGCTTTAGGTTGTCATATTTCTTCTCATTGTGGAATGAACTGTGTAGTTCCAGTGAATCCAAGAAAATCAAGCCACTGATTTTGAAAGAAAGCTAGCAAGAATTTGATCTGCATTTCTGCAGTATGTATACCCCATCTTGCTTTTGACAGTGTCAGCTCATCAGTTTGTTTCATCTGTAATCCGTTCGGACCCTAGCCATTATAACATGTGAATATCTTGTGATACATAGACTTTCCCCTATCAAGTAACTGAAGTTGTGATGCCTGGCTGCAATATTCTGCTTATATTTTATTACTGACAATGCATTTAACTGGTACCTTTCTTCTAGGTGTGATTGCTGCAGTGGTATTTGTCCTCATTTGCCTATTGGTTGTGATGGTCCGGTACATGTACAGGCATAAGGGCACCTACCACACCAATGAGGCAAAAGGAACTGAGTTTGCTGAAAGTGCTGATGCTGCCTTGAAAAATGACCCTGCTCTCCAGGAAGCTGTGGATGAGAGTAAAAAGGAATATTTCATCTGAGAGGCAAGGATTTCCATGGAGACTTCCCCAAGGGAATCAATCAGAAATACTACATCAACAGAAGTGCTAAGAGATGGATAATATGAGGAAACAGGCAAGCATCCTAACTGAAAAGTATCTCTTTATTTTATCACTGGGTTGTTTCTTTCTCTCTGCCCGTGAAGAGCTAAATGCCAGATACTTGCCTGTTGATTTTATTAGCAACACAGCTGGTCACAGTTGAAATCAATATCAGATAAGAAGAAACAAAATCTCAGTATGAGTGATACACCAAAAGCAGATAACGATAGCAAATGTCAAGCCTTGACATTTGGTGGAAATAGCAGATGCCAATGGAAAACATCCTCTTGGAGTTAATGATGCATCCTATGCTGATATTATACAGAACTACCTGAAATTGAATTTGAAATGGTCAGAGAAAAAAAAAATCAACATTAAACTAGATAAAGCTGAGGCAGCTGGAACAAACAAGCTTTGTTGCCCAGATATCTCCCCCCTCCTCTTAAAAGTGCCATTTTATTGGCACAGGAGACTTTGTCTGTTGGAAATTTAGATGGGGGACTTTTCTTTTTTTGAATTTTTAGAATTTTAAAAACATAAAAGTCAAAAAGACTTCAAAGAAACAAAACTGTTGAAAACCATGGAAAATGTAAGAATGAAGGATTTATTTCTAACTTGCTCTGCATGGCAGCTTAAAAACTGCAAAATGTTGGAATTTAAACTGTAGAAAATAACAGTCAGTAGACTTGCAAATATAATTCCAATTAGTTGGTAGGTTCCCTGCATGCATGCAGGGAATAGATGGGTATTAAAAGGTAAAGCATCTTGGTTTGAGCAGGCCTTTTGAAACAGTGGAGCTCAGATAGATTTTTTTCAAGTAAGATATTTTTGCCCAAGTATTTATTTATTTATTTGTTTTGCATTGGAAAATACTCTCAGACACCCACTTGCAAGATTTTGGATTTCTGCAAGAACAGGAATTCAGTTCTGGTGCATATACCGATAAATCTTTTGTAAGCGCAACTGTAAGACTGTCACAAAAAAGAAGTTTGTTCATCTGAATGCCACCAGCTTGTATTGATGTCTCCATCTGCATGGACTCTGTATATCCTTTGCATTGTCCTAGATAAGAGCGTTACACTGACCATCAATGCTTTAATATAAATAAATAAATAGATTAGTCACAGTGGTTCACATGAAAAGATCTTATTCCTTGCCTAAAAATCAGTGGTGATGAGTTTCTTTAACCCAGTAAGTCAGCTTCCTAATTGAAGTCCACAATTAGCTCCAGAAATAAGATAATTGTTTTCTGCACCTGCTCATCCCCATTTGCAATGGTTCCCTGGACTACTGAAAATAGAGGGGAAGAAATAAAAGATAAAAAAATAAGGAACTGATGAGCTCTGCTCGACTCAATATGTTTTTTCCTGTGATTCGATCTATATATATGTGTGTGTATATATACATGTATACACACACATATAAAATCATCTACAACTGCTTTCAAGACACACTTGTGATCACTTCTTGACACCAAAGCTTGAAAGCTCCTGGATACACCAAAGCTTGAAAGCTCCTGGATACATTATCGATGTTGGCCACAAAAATGTTATAGTGAAAAGACATCAGCGCAAGAAAAGACTGATGACCCAAGTGGGGATATTTTCATCTTTTCAACCACAAATGCAGTCTTTTCTTAGTACCTGAAGTAGATGGACTTTGAATTACTCTTAAAATACCAATACCTTAGATCTTGAATCTCCATGTGTTTGCATTTTAACCAAAGAATATCAAAATCCTGCCAATTTTACTAAATGCTTAAGATATTTTTTCATAACATACTGTTGCATAACTACATTCTATTCTGTGGCTAGTTCAATACAACATGCATGCAACCCAGCACTAGCAGAGCTCAAACATGACTGTTTTCTTCTAGGATACATTACTATTTTAATCTTTTTACTGCTTTTGAAAAAGGAATCTGTTTTTATTTTTCTGGGACAAGTGTTGGAGAAACTGAATAATCTTAGCTGTAAGACTGAGTTTGTAAAACTGAAGATTCCTGACCCTCCAGCTCAATAAGAATGTAAGTATTGCCTCTGAGGAGAGGGTAAATAGGGTGACGTGAGCTCTGCTGCATCTCTCACACAAGCCATGTGAACACCAAAAATATTTCTTCAAAAAAAACCTTTCTTCAGGACCTATAAAAGACTGCCAACCTTTCATCACCTTCTTTCTGTACACTTTCTGTACACTTCTGTACACTTTCATCTACCCAGAGCTGCCTGATGTAGGTTTGGCTGTTGAAGAACATTGACTTTAGAGCAAGGTGTGAGGGTCATGAGGAATAAATTTCAGCTTCCCTCCCCAGTCATGAAATTCTGTTTTTTGTTGTTTTTGCTTGTTTGTTTGTTTCTTTGCAACTTGATCCTGATGCTTCTAATTTGACAACTGTGACATACCTGTTTCAATATGGGAAAATCTGAATTAGTGTCTCTTTTGGTGGAAGGTTGAGTATTTTAATTATGAAGTGGATTGAGACAGTGGTTAACTACACACGTTTGAACTACAGGAGTCAGATTTTCTGGTGATACAACATGAATTGAGCAGAACTCAGACAATTCTTACCAGTTCAGTCAATGCCAAACTTTTCTGTCATTGCTTTCCCTAACTGAATGCAACTACTGGTCTTTGACTATATCCCTTCTTAGTAGCTTAATTAAATCTCTTTATCCTACTTTCCCTATTCATCCATGCTAACAAACTGTACAGCAACAGCTTCCCTATCAGTAATGAACCACTCTGAATGTTTGCAGAGCAATGACTCTGGCATGAGCTACAGTTTCAGCTAGTTTATTTTTTTTTACAGTGTTCTTTTGGGTTCCAGGACTTTGTGTGTTTAGAAATGACTCAAGCATGCTGAACAGAGAAAAGAGATTTTTTTTTGGGGGGGGGGCAATTTTCTGTTTATTTGTATGTTGTTTTTTTTTAGGACAAACTTTGCTTTGTAATGAAGAAAGCCCATGACATCTGAATGACTGGCAGAACTCTAATGACTTCATCCTGCTTTTTTACTCATACAATAACTCCGCTGTCTTGAGTCATTCAATTTAGTTGTAAAAAGAGTGCATTATAAACTTCCTATTGCTTTTAGAACTAATAATTAGCAAAACATCCGTCTGCAAGCAACATGCTGTGCTAAAGCAAATACTATGTACAACATCAAGATGTCTCGGCTGGCAGCCGTATCTTTTCATAAGCAATGATCAATTGATTTTAACAATTTGCTTCCTGAATAGGAGAAGTAAGGAAACAGGCTGCTCTTTTGCTGAGGGTCCAGTTGTCCTGCAACTCTCTGGTGCCACATTTCCCTAACCATGCCTTCAATTCTCACGTGCAGTCACCCAGGCTCCCAGCAAGATCCCCCTTGACTTCCTATGGCATCCCTACAACTGACCATTTGTTTGCTTATTCATTTATTTTTATCATTGAGGATGCTACGTCTGTCTCTGATGGCTAAGAGCCAATTTTCACAAAAGTTTTAACTTTAGACTTCCCATCCAGTGTCAAGTTTGATCATACCTGCCCAACCTGGTCTCAGATTGATTTACAAAGTTTACATTTGACACATTTTTCACAGAAAAGGGGTCTAAAACTAGTATTGCAAACTCTGGTTAGTTAAATTGAATGCCATAAACCTTCAGCATTCACTAAACAAGGGATCAAGATGATGATTCCTGAAGCAGGAATTTTGTCCTGATTCCTTAATTCTTAGTGAAAACTTCTGGAATCCCACCATGCACTGAAAGCTATAGCCATTTTTATGTTTGTTTTTGTTTTTTTTTTTTTTTTTTTTTTTTTCTTTTTTATGTTTATGTAATAAAGAAAAAAAATAATTTCACTTCCCATATTCTCATATTCTATATTCTCCTGTCCTGCCTTAACATCTGGAACTGCATTTCTTGTAATTTTGTAGAATACCTGAATCCTCCCCTGCACTAAAACAACTGCTTATTAGTGCCAGCACCTGTAGCTCAGCAGGGTAATTCTATCCAAAAGCAGTTAGTCCCAATCAGATATCTGCCTACCATGTCTTAGACCTGGTACACATTTTTTTCTGAGGCGTGGCCACTGTCATTCCAGGTTTCCCTGGGGCCAAAGTGCCATTGCACATTAATGCTGTCCTGCAGAGGATTTAAACATTTTTATTCTTTTTAGAACAAAAGGACCAAATCACTTTGTGAGTCTATTAAAAATAATATCATAGGATTTCCTTAGAAACATCAACATGGATTTTTCTTTTAAATCAAATCTAGAAATCATTGGAAGAACACCACAAAGGAAAAATAAAAAGGACTGTTCTCATTCAGCAGGAAATGCACAAAAAAAATACCGTAACATTTATAGCAGAAGGATAAGTAGGATAGCATTGTAAGCCACAGCCTGCAAGGATTCCTTACAGAGTACAGGAAACGCTGATACAAGATGTAAATTAGTAAAAAGATACAGAGTGGGAGAAGATAACTAGATGCCAATAAAGATGGAGAGTAGTTTTTTTTTTTTAATCAAACAAAATAGATAGTGCTCTTTGAAAATATCAAAGTGCATTTGTTGAAGGTAAACGCTGACAAAAAATTTCTTTGAATTATATGAGGTGTTTGAATTCCTTGCATGTGCCAGTCCAATCAAAAAATGTTAGAAAATAAACACCAAAAGAGCACCCTTATTAAATATATTAAGAGCTGTTTATTGCATTTTCTAAAATCTCTCTGTTTTTCACATAAGAAGGCTTTGTGTGCTTTGAAAATGCAGAAGCTTCACAGCAGCAGTTCATAAAAGAGAGAACACTAAAGAACCCCTGAACAAGCAAGGAACACATATTTAAGGTC